CTGTCGTAATAGTGTAATACACTCATCGCTACCGTCCATGCACGCACAAACAAATCTCAACCGTCCGATACATAAAAATCCACGAACAAATCCAAATCCCATGCAAACCCTAGCTATATAATATCGTCGTATATTATATTATCATTGCCGAAACAATTATGTCCATGGTCCATATACAAGACTCACTCGAAAATGCAACATGCCTATCCTTTACTTTACACCTCCTAAACTTTGTCATTTAGGATAATTAGTATTCTAATTAATCATGGTTAAAGTAATGTAATATCATTGGACAACAACCACGATTTGTACGGGCAAGGGACATATTCTGTACCATAAGTTTTGGCTAGATTTTCGAATCTTGATGAGCTGGTGCTACACAACATGGACACGTGGTATTTTCATCAATGTTTCCAAGGTACACTTGCATGTGCACCACCCTAATTTTGTGCTTCTTCGTTTTGGTAATTGCAGCGTCCCCATGATGTTAACAATAATAATAGGTAATCATTTTCACGTTCTCGTCTTCTCTTTTATACTCATCTTATTTTCGTTTAACGATTCTCTTTTTACTTATTCAATTTAGGACTGATAAAAAGAAAAGATTGTAAACGGAGATATTAGGATAATAATAAATTTCACACTTCAAATTTATCATTTTGCATTTCTTCTTTTGTTTTTTGTGTTTTTGTTTATTGATACTTCTTTGACTTATTTAAATCAACAACAAAGAAAGAAAAGAGATCTGCAGAGAAATGATAGGTAGTGATTTTCAGAATCTTAAATGTATCCATCATTCAACAATTTTCTTTTATTTTCACCGCTTAATTTTTCTTTGTATTTAATCCCAAAACTATAAATAAGACGAGTACAGTAGAAAGACGAAACGAAAGAAAAGATCATTCCGCAAGAAAACGCGAGTGCGAAACTTACTACTCTGATAATAATAATGCAAGCTTTTCGCATTTTATAAGATTAAAAATCCCCCAAAGGTTCTTTGCAGCAAATAAATTAAAGAAAAGGTTATCTGTTCATATTGTGATGCTAATATACTATTAATATATAGTAATCAGTTTGGAATAACCCATTGACAAGGAGTTGACACCTAAAATACTCAAATTGCAGTTGAAAATAATATACAGATTGAAAATGCTTGGTTTTGTGATTCCTTGCCCACTAAACTAAATCACAAGTTTCCAACTCCTGATTAAGAAATTAACCAACCTAATTAACAATATCTTAAGAGATACTGGTGAACGTTAATCATCTGGTACAGCATGCCAACCTACCAAATAATGCAAAATCGATCTTCAATGGTGGGCAAAATTTTTTATTTCTTTTTATTTTTTTTGATGAGAAAATGGTTGGTAGATCTTGATGATAAGGTTCAAGCCACAAAATAATACCTCATGCAGCATCTAACCTGCCTTGCTAGATCAATTTGTACACACCATTTGACCAAATCTATAAATCGTCGATTTAAGTTGAAGTGTAACAACATCACAAATATCAAATTGTGTGGAGGGCAAAGATTTTATAAAAGATTGATTAACCAATGAATTGCCTCAAACACGTTTGTGTATAACATTAAAATTAGTCGATCATGCTCAAGTGGGAGATCCAACCAAGCATAAGGGATAGCTTTTGGTCTTCATTGTTATATGTCCACATATATCAACGACTAAGATTCAACCACTAACTTATAGACAGTTGTTTCAGACTCAATTCTAAAGCTTTAATTCATAAGGTATTGCTGCGATATGAACTAGCATACATCAACGGCTGATATTCAACTGCTAAGATATAACAACGATTGATCCAAACACAATTTTAAAATTTTAACTGATAAGCCTATACATACATCAACGATTGAGATTCAACCGCTTGAGCGTGAACAACCAACTCGATGCACAACACAATGAAGCATTAATGATGTTTTAGACCTGTTTAGATTGGTAATGGATCCAGCAGGCAAATCAGGACCCAGCCAAGTTGTAGTTGTAAGGATGGCAGAGTTCACCAACATTTAAATGGTTTGCATGCTTTGTAAACCTTGTACCTTTTGGGTGCATTTTGAGCTGTACCTCTTGTCTGTGCCAACCTAGACAGACTTAGTTGGCAAAGTCACACTCAGAGTGAAACATACGCGCTCCAAGAGCGGATCGGTTTTCTTTCTTGTTTTTTTCTCGTTTTTATTGTTTATTTAAAACAAAAAATGTATTAAATAAAACAAAATCTCCATCGATAATGAGAGATTTTTTAATTGCGGGCCTGAAGCAGTATTTCACATGTCAAAATATTTTCAAAGAAAATGATATATTTTTTTTTATGTCTCTCTACTTATTTTATAATACATTGAGAGCTTGTTTAGATATGACCAATGTTCTAAAAGACGCTAGGCGCTAGTTAGATGAGCTTAGGCTTGGTGCCTAGGCGGCTGGATCCTAGCGCCTAGGCGGACTAAGTGGATTTGAGTAAATTTCTTATATATTGTATAAATAAGTGTCTGCTTATATTTAAAAAAATAGAAAATGAAGACAAATATGATTGAAGACAATATAAGTTGGAGGAGGATGTTTTTATTTAGTTTGTCTTAGCTTTTTATGGGGGTCTAATACAATATACAAACAGATATACTTGAATTTTTTAAGTTGTTGGGGTCAAAGGCAACCAATAACCCTATATTGACTCCGTCACTGGCTAGACAAGTGCCTATGCGGTCTAGGTGGGTTTTTATAAAGGTTTAAGCACACTTTCTTAATTTTTAAATACTTAAAAATTAATTAAGATAATAATTAGCTGTCTAGCGCTTAAATAGAACCTCGACGGCCCTAGCCAGAAATTAACCGTGGATACGACAGTTGGGAAAAATTCTCATCAATAATGGTTTGAAGGAAAATGAGAATAATGGTTTGAAGGAAAATTAACAAATAAAATTAAAAAAATAAAATGGAATCAGAGAGGAGAGAGAGGGGGAGGAGAGAGAGACCGTATACGGAAGAGGACCATACGGCTTCTCCGACACACCCACGGATCCCTCTGTGTGAGCGTGGGGCCCACTTGCTTTTCAGCCATAACATTTAGTCCTATCCTCACTTCGGTTTCAGTTACAGGTTTGTAACGTACGTCCTACTTCTTGAAATGACACATATACCCTCCTGTGAAATTTGGAGGGACTAAAATAGCCTTGGTGTTGGTGCTTTTACAGTTTTAAACATGGTTGTTAAAAGATAAAGGTCACTTTATTTTAAATTTTGAATGACATATTTTTACTATAAAGTAGTAAGACCATCTCTAACCGAATGAGTGCCAAAGGGCTAGTTTTAGTCTTCTGGCTCTCAAAAAAATTAATATTTTAATGAACAGTGCATGTTCATATTTCTTACCGTCTCCAACCAAGGGTCAGACCAAGCATAGCCCTATCACAAAAAACTATCTTCAACTGAGGGCCAAACATAATTTATTATTTTAATTGAATTACTATGGTTACTTAAATTAAATTACCTCAATAATTTTATGTTATGGATTGTCAATAATTTTCATGTTGTTAATTTTTTTTATGTAGTTTAATGTGAAAAAAAAAAAAAAAAAATCAAATATGACGTCAGCATGTGGCCTGGTTTGGGGCCGGCTGGTTGGCCCTTTGGCCTGTTTTTTGTCCAGTAGGACCCACGAGCCATTTAGCCTGACCCTCGGTTGGAGACAATTTTCAGGTTATTTTTAGCTATCTGGTTCCTTCGGTTGGAGATGGTCTAACTAATTCTTGACCAAATCTTTGAATAGGAAAGTCAACAATGTTTTTGATTCTCATTTTATCAGACTTTAATATTGAAAAAAGTTCTAAATTTGTAAGTAATTTTGTTGCTGTATAACTAACGCTTTTAAACTCAATCAAATTGAATTCCAGTACTAATCTTATGGTCAATAAACACTTTTAAGTTGATTGAAGGACAAACTTTAAATTGAGTTCCAGTACTAATCTTATAGCATGTGTATTGCCCACAAATCATATTATTTGTCAAAGAAAAACTACTACCACTTCTTTTCAATCTTTAGTAGATGATGACTACAACAGAGGTCAGATATAAAGTAACTTTTTTTATTTTTCAACTCATTAGTAATGTTTTTCTTCGTAACGTCAAGATTGTTTGAAAAACAAAAAAAACTAACCTATCTTTTTTTTTTTTATCACAAATGATTGAGGCCGACTAATTAACATTCTTGGTGCCTGGTATTGCTGTAAGCAAAGGGGCATGTAGTGGCATGTTGGCTTTGCGATATAAAGGGCAAAAAGGGAAAATCAGATACAGGGATTCAGTTTGTCTCCTCAGAAGTGGATCTTCGCACGTTAATGAAATGGAGTTCGTAGAGAGGAGGAGCTGTGAATTTTATGGAGAGAGATGACGAGAGAAGTACAGCCAGCCACCTCCCCTACCCATTGCATATGCTTTCACTGCACCACCAACAACAACGTCCCAATTCATCTCTCAACCAACTCATTCCTCTCTCTCTCTCTCTCTCTCTCTCTCCTGTTTTTGTTTTCTAGCTTCGCATTATTACAAGCTCTCAACTTTTTTCCCCTACTTTCTCTTTTTAACTACTGCATCCTTGACCACCTGAGCTCTTTCCCTCAACTTCTCAAAACCCATGTGTGTTTTTGGGCTTGGAAGCTCAAAAACCATATTTTGGGAGCTTCTTTTGCTCTTTTAAATGGTGGTTTTGTCTAAATATGTAGAGATTCAAGATTTCTGACCGAACTCTCCACCTTTTGCCCAGAAACATGCTTATTGGCCCGAAACTTATCAACTTTTTTCCCAGCTTCTGCTTAATCTGAACCCACCTGCCTTTAAATGCACAAAGATTGATGAGATGATTTCAAAATGTAGGTGTTTGAAAAACAACACTTTAATCTTTCCGGGTCGTCTCCAAATCCAAGTTTTTCTGCAAGTTTGGAGGCTTTCTGCTAGTTGAGGAGTGCAAATACCAAAAGGGGGGTTCTGAGATTTTTCTGATTCTTTTGATGAGTTTTGACGCCGACCCATGAAGAATTTCCTCTGGTTTAAGCAGATTTCCAGCAATGGCAAGCCTGAGAGGAGCCTCTCGCTGGGTGAGTACAATCGTGCAGTCTCATGGTCCAAGTACTTGGTGTCGTCAGGGGCTGAGATTAAAGGGGAAGGAGAGGAGGAGTGGAGTGCGGACATGTCACAGTTGTACATTGGGTGTAAATTTGCTTCCGGAAGGCATAGTAGGATTTACAGAGGGGTTTATAAGGAGAGAGATGTGGCGATTAAGCTGATAAGCCAGCCTGAGGAGGATGAAGGGTTGGCTGTTTTGCTTGAGAAGCAGTTCACTTCTGAGGTTGCTTTGCTTTTTCGATTGCACCATCCTAATATCATCACTGTAAATCTCTCTCTCTCCTCTTTGTTAGGTTTATGGTGGTGTTGTTTGCCTTTTCAGATCCTTTGGAAATGCAGTTTTTGTTTTTCTTCTTTTTCAAGTTTTCTTCCTGCTAACTTTTGTGATCTTTTGGTCTGCATAAAAACGCAAGATCCCCTTTAACCTTGTGCAATTTAAGATTTTACTCCAAGAAATCACTCGAAAAAAAGGAACCGCTTCGGCATAAAATGTTAGAAGAAATCTGTTCCGGTTACATCAATTGGTCATTGATTGATTATTGCACAGTCCTTACCTTAGAATTCTCCATCTTTTCAATTCTGTATCCGACCTCAATCTTTGTTGGTATTGCGTATATTCCGAAAATTGGAATCGGTTCTTCTAAGAATTTTTTTGTTCTTTTAGTAACATTTAATGCTGGAACAATAGCTGTTTCTTTACGTTTTTTGACCTTCATGTACCAATTTTTGTTGTGCAGTTTGTTGCAGCTTGTAAGAAACCTCCTGTGTTCTGCATTATCACCGAGTATTTAGCTGGGGGATCGTTAAGGAAGTATCTTCATCAGCAGGAGCCACATTCTGTTCCGCTTAGCCTAGTTATGAAGTTAGCCCTCAACATTGCACGCGGGATGCAATATCTCCATTCTCAAAGTATACTTCATAGGGATCTCAAGTCAGAAAATTTATTGCTAGGGGAAGATATGTCTGTAAAGGTTGCGGATTTTGGTATTTCATGCCTAGAATCACAGTGCGGCAGCGTAAAGGGATTCACGGGTACTTACCGCTGGATGGCACCCGAAATGATCAAAGAGAAACACCATACAAAGAAAGTCGATGTTTACAGTTTTGGAATAGTTCTGTGGGAGCTTTTAACGGCATTGACACCATTTGACAACATGACTCCTGAACAGGCTGCATTTGCAGTATCGCAGAAGGTATTTTTTTCATTGTACCCCGTAATATTACTTACCCTGGTTTGCGGTTAATGATTTGTATCAATAGATTCAATACCTATTAGTTATAATTAAGTGTTGATATGGTGATACCTGTTATTGAAAGAGGGGATATTATTGTGGCAAGTATTAGTCTACGCGTTTAAACGAGGCCAAGATATCCATTCTTGAGATATTGAACTCTTTAAGTAACAGGATTATAAAAAACCCAGTACTACTGAAAATTAATTCTGTCACCCATAAGTTTTTGAGTTTTCGAAACTGTTAGAGAATTATGGAAACAGAGAATGATAATGTTCCTTTCTGAATCATTTGCTTTTGCTGCATATTATCTTCCCATTCTTAGCATACTAAGATACAATTTAGAGAACACTTTATATACGTGCCTCGTAAACTGACTGCTCGAATAGCTCTCATGTGCATTGATAATTTTTGAGTTTCCTTAGAAATCTCTTTCAAGTGTCAGCTCTTCTACTTCACAACATTTGATAAACTTTCTTAAATTCCCATGCAGTAAAAGTAACTTGTCATATCAGAAATTACAGTTTATCCGTTATCGTTTTTAGTTTCTATTCTTCTTGATGCATCTGTTACACCTGTATGTTTCTCACATGCATCAGAAGTGGGGTGAGAGACGGTCATTTATATGCTTGTCTTTGTATTATCCAGATCATGTGGGGACCTGCTGCATTTGGCCATCCTTATTTTTGCAGGAAATGAAATCTCCTAAAATCGGAGAAATATATTAAATCCTACATCTTTTTCGTTGTTGATAAGATATATTAAAGCACTGGTGATCATGCACTAATACAGGTAGACATCTAAAGGATGTGGAGAGTTGCATTTAATGTTTGTTTAATTCCTGTCTCATAAAGAACGTAAAACTTCAGCGATTTCCTAATCGCCTTCTACCAAGAAGAAGCATGCTGGCATCTAATGATCTGTTTCAGTTTTTCCTGTTGGCATCTTGCACCTGTTATGATTTTGTGGAATAAATGGGAACTCCGTCTGTTTTCCCACCTTGAATTCTCACTTGCCACCCATGTAAACCGCTTTTGTTGCTGTGTTTTGAAACCTTTTAACATGAAGCTGACCTGTTATGGAGATATATGTGTCGATCTCCTTTTAGTTCTGAACTATGGATATTCAACTTGTTCGTGTCATTGCACTATTCTGAACAACGCCTGGTATGTAATGGCATCATTATGCAAATCAGTTTACTTGGTTGTGCTATTGATTCCTGTAAACATGAAAGTCAAATGTTTTGAGTAAACAAACCCGAATGTGCTGGAAGTTGTTACAAAAGCCAGAATTTGGCGTGTTCACAGCTACAATTTGTCATCGAAGTTTGGTTGCAGGAACTGAAGATGAGATGAATCTAAAGTATCAAAAGCTGCATTAATGTCCTAATTAGTTGAAACGTTGTCAGGTTGATCTGATTTTTTGTATGAGCACAGTAGACTAAGATTTCTGCAGTGGCTAATACAATGATAACAGTGTGTTAAGTTTCCTTTGTAGCAAAGTTTATTAAACGTGTTATGTGCTCCTGAATTTTGTGCAGAATGCAAGACCCCCTTTGCCGTCCACATGCCCGGTGCCATTCAGTCGCCTCATTAGCCGATGCTGGTCAAGCCATCCAGATAAGCGACCTCATTTCGATGAGATAGTGCACATTTTGGAAGGTTATGCCGAGTCCCTTGAGCAGGACCCAGATTTCTTCTCATCTTACAAGCCGCCCCCAGATCACGCCCTGTTGCGATGCTTTCCAAAATGGAAGGGTCGCCGTAGTTCTGCTTCTTGAAAGATTTAGGGATTCGTTTTCTGGAATCAAAGTATTGAAGTTAAATGTACCATATGCTTTTCTTGTCAAGGTTCCCATCTTCATACAAATTATGATCGTGAACCTTTTTTCCTTTCTGTCTTGTTAACCTTTTTATCCTTTTGTCTTGAATATATTGGAATGAAAAGCACTACTTTTATTGGTGTTTTAACTTCATTTGCATACTTCATATAAGCACTTTCAATAGAAGCACTTTAAATTTGATGTGAAATGCTGAATGTGACATTTTCAATAGAAGCACTTTTGGAACTTCCTCTCCATCACTCCTAATGCGCATTCCCACTCTTGGGATAGTATTGGCATGAGAGATTTGGATATGAAAACTTATTGTATGCGCTGATTATATATCTTGAGTTGAAGACTTCATTACACTTCATCGTAATATTTCAGATCAATAATACAATATCATGTGGAAACATGAAAACACATGACATTGCGTATTGGGGTCTAGCTTAGTCTATGCATGCAAAAATGCTTCCAATTCTTCAATGTCTTCTCTCACTCTAATTTACAATTTCACTTTGTAATTAGCTAATTTTTTTTTTAATTTAAAAAAAAAAAAACGATATTATCTACATTAAGAAGGAGGGGGAGGTAAGCTAAACCTTACAATAGGTTAACAATAATGTGGTTCAAATTCGCCTTTGATGAGAATCGAACCTAAGACCTCTCACTTATAAGTAAAAATAAATACCATTAAAGACCGTAATACTAAGTGACAACTAATATTTTTAAACTAATTCATTTTACTTTGTTTTCTCTTAAAGAAAAGCGTAATAGATAGGGTAGTTCTATTCACACACCTAACTTTATTTCTCATACACCCTCAATTTACGATCGTTGGATTAAATGAATTCAAAAAGTTTAATGTCAAAAAATTAATGAAGGTGCAAGGTAAAAATAAGTGTAGAATAACTGCTTGTGAAACGCCAAAAAAATAACAATAAAACTTACCCAAATATAGTATAGTAAAAGCGTATTTACAATTTTTGTGACCTGATATAACATGTGACGGTTTGGCCGAGTGGTCTAAGGCGCCAGATTTAGGCTCTGGTCCGAAAGGGCGTGGGTTCAAATCCCACAGCCGTCAGATTTTTTGTTCTCTTTAAATTTTTTTTCTTGCACTTTTTGAACTATTCATTAGTTTGCCACAAATTTGAAATTTACAATGGCAAGGTAAGAAATTCAATTTTTTATTTCTAGTTGGGTAAATTACATTTTACCCCCTCATGTTTGGGATCGATTTCAATTTCTTACAGCATCTTTAAAACATTTTAATTTCATACAGTTAACCGTTAAGTGATGACGTGGCAAATATGAGGTCCTCATTTATGCTGATGTGACTGCCATATTTGTACCACGTGGCTAAACGCTTAATAAAAAATTTAAAATATTAAAATAATTAAGTAAAGAAAAAGAAAAAAAAAAAAAAAAAAAAAAAAAACCAAAAGTCCCTTTCGTCTTCCCCACCCTTTCTCCCCACCGGAGCCCATCCCCCACCCTCTTCTCCCATTCCCTATCACTCGAGCCTCCCCGCAACCTTCTGGTACGCCCAATCGGTCTTAGATAGCAGAAAGCTAGAAATTGAAGGAACAGTGCAGAGATAGTAAAAGAGAAATGAGATTTAAAAGGAAAGAAAACACATTTTCATTCATCCATGCCCTAACAGCATACATTACACTATTTATATTCAACTGAAAGGGAACCCTAGCTCCAAACAGGCTGGGCCTTGAGCAAACCATAGTTGTGGGTTAACAGGTATGGGCTGAGACAAAGAGCTAATAGGCCCCTAAACAATGTGGTCCTAACAACTCGCCCCTGTTAAAGAAAATGCATGTCCTCAGGCTTGAAAATCGGGATAACGAGCAATGATGTCGTCGTTGACTTCCCAAGTAGCATCAATGATGACAGTTCTGTCCATTTGATGAGCCATTTGTTGACTGCAACATTCTTCTTCTTGAACATGCCGCGGTCAAGTACTTTTTCTGGTTGCCAATGTAGAAGCCCTGTGAGGTCAAGTGGTGGTAAAGTTGCATTTGGGAAAATATGATCACCAATTTTCTTCTTGAGCAAGGAGACGTGAAAAACCAGATGTATCTTGGAAGTATGTGGGAGATCGAGTTTGTAAGCCACATAACCAGTACGTTCCCATACTTGAAATGGTCCATAAAACTTGGGGGCAAGTTTGCTGGATTTGCGTAGAGCAACAGATTGTTGACGATAGGGTTGCAGCTTTAGGTAGACCCAATCACCCACCATGAATTCATGCTTTGTTCGGCCCTTGTAATAGATTTGTTTCATGCGATTCTGAGCGAGTTGCAAGTTAGCTCGTAAAAGGTGAAGCAACCTGTCTCTGTCTTGTAAAGCCATATCAACTGAATGCACTGCAGTGGTTCCAGGTAAATAGGTGTGAATGGCAAGAGGAGGAACCCTGTATAGAGCTTGAAATGGTGACATCTTGATGGCATATTGTAAAGTGGTGTTATACCACCACTCAGCCCATGGAAGAAGAGATGACCACTTGGTTGGTGTATCGACTGAAAAACAACGGAGATAATGTTCGAGAGTTCAATTGAGGACTTCGGATTGACCATCCGATTGAGGGTGATACGCAGAGCATGACAGAGTTTGCTACCTTGATGCTTGAAGAATTCTTGCCAAAAGTTATTGAGAAATGTTGGGTCACGGTCAGACACTATGGATTTCGGCATACCGTGGAGACGGAAGATTTCCTTGATGAATGTTTTTGCAATGGATGTGGAAGTGTACGGATGTTTAAGTGGAATAAAATGGCTGTATTTCGTTAAACGGTCCACAACCACCAATATTGCCGTGTAACCATTTGAAGAGGACATGCCTTCTACAAAATCCATGGCAATGTCTTGCTATATACCATTTGGGATGGGTAGTGGTTGTAAAAGGCCTAGGGGGTGTATCGTCTCATGGTTCTGGCGTTGACATTTTGGGCAGTGGGCAACAAAGGTCTTCACATCATTGCGGATGCCAGGCCAAAGGAAACTTCTTGAAATTATGTGGTAAGTATGGAGGAAACCCGAGTGGCCGCCATGTAAAGTGGAGTGAAACTCCTCCAGAATTCAGGGACGCTACTTTGATGAGGAAGGAACGAATATTCGCTTTTTGTAGTGGAGGAGATCATTAATAATGGAGAATCCTTGAATAGTTGTGTTCGGGGATTGAAGTAAAGCAGTCCATATATTCATGACCTAGGGATCAATGGGATAAAACTGCTTGAACTCAGAGATGTAATAAAAAATAGGAGAGGAAATACCAAGAAGTGGCAACAACTCTTCTTGGCGTGAAAGAACATTTGGAACCGTATTTTGAGACCCTTGTCGATATTCCACCGAGTAATTGTATCCAAGGAGCTTGACAAGCCACTTGTGTTGTTAAAGAGTGGTGATACACTGCTCAAGAAAATATTTGATTGGTTTGTGGTTTGTGACGATTCGAAAGTGTTGTCCCAATAAATAAGGTCTTCAATGTTGTACTGCAAACACAATGGCTAGCATTTCTTTGTCGTAAGTGGAAAGAGCAAGGTTGTAGCCTGATAATGCTTTGCTAAGGTAAGCAATGAGATGTCCTTCTTGAGTTAACACGGCGCCGATGCCCACACCAGAAGCATCTGTTTCGACCATGAACTGTTTGTTGAAATCAGGGAGGGCAAGAATTGGAGTGGATGCCAAAGCTTGCTTGAGCTTGGTAAAGGCTGCAATGGAGTCAGGTGTCCATGTAAAGTTGTCGTGCTGGAGCATGGTGGTCAGAGGCTTTGTTATCAATCCATAATGATGGACAAATTTACGATAATAATCGATGAGTCCCAAGAATCCCTGAAGACTTTTGATAGATGTCGGCTGAGGCCAGTCCATGATGGATTGAATTTTTGAAGCATCAACTGATACACCGATGCCTGAAATAGAATGTCCCAAGTAATCTATTTTGTTTTGGCCAAAAGAACATTTGTTGAGCTTCACTTTCAGGCTGTTCGTGGAAAGAACTTGGAAAACAGTCTCCAAATGGGAAGGTGAGTATTCAAAGATGGGCTATACATAAGTATATCATCAAAAAATACTAACACAAACTTACGCAAGTATGGACGGAAAATGGAGTTTATAAGAGCTTGAAAAATAGATGGTGCATTGGATAAACCAAATGGCATTACCATGAATTCAAAGTGACCATCATGTGTACGAAAAGCAGTTTTGGCGATGTCCTCTATGCTCATGCGTATCTGGTGATAACCAGAACATAGGTCGAGTTTGGTGAAGATGAAAGCACCGTGTAATTCATCCAAGAGCTCATCCACCACCAGAATAGGAAAACGATCCTTGATTGTAGCTGCGTTGAGTGCTCTGTAATCAATGCAGATGCGCC